AATCAATAGCTTATGAGAGAAATTGCTCCATGCATCATCTGGAATCTAACATGACGTGTTAAAAAAAAAAATTAATGAACTGAGGCCTTTTTATCTAATATGAATATAATGCAGATGAAATTTTTTTCTTCATTTATTAAAATAGTAAGCCATGGGACAGCATAACTTTTGTTAGCTAATAATAATAATAATATGAGATAAAGGAAAAAGATTCACGATAATTTTATTCATTCCCCCACAAAATTCTACAAGTTTTGAGTCTGTCAAAGAGTGTTTTAATAAGTGTTTGTAGCGTGCTAGATAGCATAAAAATTTCTTTAAATCGCATGTAGCATACCTAAATTGAAATTTAGTATTTAAACTATACTATCACGAGAACAAAATTATCAAAAAAAATTTAAATGTTTTATTATTTTTTATTTTTTACAAATCCAAACTCTATTTTATTATTTTTTAGTTTTTACCATTTCAAACTCAAATCATATTATATTAAATATTATTCTAAAGTACATTTTATATAGTACTGTGTAGCAATTTAAAGCTCACTTACTACCTCAGCGTACCACCATCCTCAATGGTGACAGGAGGTGTATTGGGACCAGGGGTCCATGGCTCCCTCATTTTTTTTTTAAATCAATATATATATATATAAAAGAAAATACTATAAAATATGTATAGAAATGTAAAATAGATATTTACAATATATTAATAATTAAAACTTATTTTTATGTTAATTTAATTTAAATTATTAATTTTATTTAAATATTAAAAAATGTACTAACAATCTTTATAACATTTATAATGATTTTCGATCTCTTAATTGTAAATCGATTTAGTAATTTATAAAACTCAATATACCCAATATATAGTTGGATTGTTACATTTTTTTAAGTTGGTTTTTTTTTATGTGTAATCACATATTTTAAACTAAGTTATTTTCTTCTCATTGACTATTGGCTCCATAACGGAGCCAACAGTTGGCTCCTTAGCATTATTGTTGAGTTTAATCACATAACCAATATGCTTTATTGTTTATTACCAATATATTCAAGCTTAAATCCTTTTTTTTTTTGCATTTCAGTCAATTGCATATCTGCATAAATTTGATAAGTACAAATATTTTTATCATAAGCATCCCTTACATTTCCATACAAATCCACTAGCATCAATCTCATCCTAAAACCTATATGATGTTCTTGTCTTCCTGTTTTCCAATGCATAAAAATTAAAAACCCATATTACATATTTGAAACCCCCCCCAAAAAAAACGATATAAAAATGAAAATAATAGTAAAGATTTTCCCTACATTTTTCATGATCTTGTGAAACATTTTTTTTTTTTTCCTTGTATGATATTTACAACAAACTNATAAAAGAATGAAAAGCAACAAATGATCAAAAAATTTCGCCACAGTGATCTCATGGAAGGAACAAACGATTAATTCAGCAAATTGTGTACTCATACCTTAATGACACTATCAGCTTGCGCGACAAATAGCTTCCCGTTGCAATAAACGAGCGATGTTATAGTCGAATTACAAGGGATAGATCCAACAGCTATGACATCCACTCCACTTACATCTTCGGATATTTCCTATAAAACAAGAATATAGCAATATTAAACCAAAAATGATAACATTTTTTCGTTTTTTCTTTTTCCTTCGGTTTTATGTAACATTTCACCTGTACATTGATGCTTTTATCCCACCCACCACTAAATAGCCATTTCCCGTTTTTCCCAACCGAGAAAACAGCACCTTTGTGAGTCTGTGTGGACTTGAGAAGAACATCATTGTGCCATATCTAGAGCAACAATAAAATCGACGAGACTTTTAAGATATTCGGCTATTCTTTTTTTCTTTTTGAAGTTCTAAAAAATTTGAACATATGAATCTTGATTCTTGCATCAGTACCTTAACACTACCATTCTCATGACCTACGAACAACATATCGCGATCGGCAGAAAGAGACAAAACCGAACCTACATTTCCGAATTTGCCCTCTCCCAACACAGTTAGCGGGCTATGATCGATTAGAGACCATAACCGGACAGTCCCATCCCAGCTTCCACTAAAGAGAACACCGTTCGAAACTATCAATGACGAGACAACTGATTTGTGACCACTCATTTCACACGAGAGAGTGTAATCCTGAAATATTTGACAAAATTATAGTTTTCCGATTCATTAAGGCTATGTTTGGTAAACCTAGCTGATAAGCTAGCTTATAGCTGATATCCAGATTATTGCTGATAGCTTACGACTTATGACTGAAAAACTAGCTTATATGATAACAATGTTCGGTAAAACTAGCTGAAATGAAAATTTCAATGTGTTTATTTGAAAAGCTAGAGCATTTTAAAAAAAGTTCATCCTACCAAACCAGACTTATTTGAATACAAGAAGCTTTTATAAGCTAATCAAATACGCTATAAGATAGCTTATATGCTTGCCAAACACGGCCTAACTAACTGAAATATGGTAGAGAGAGAGATTTTGAACACCTGCAGAGACCATGCTTTGACTAATTTGTCCCCACTGCCAGTGTATAGATATTCAGTACCATAAACGGCCATTGCATGAATGCCACTAAAGCGCCAATCTTTTTTCTCAAAGATCTTTTTCATAGGCGATTCAGAAAAGGGAAAATCGGCTTTCCAAATGCATATAATGCCTTCATTATCACCACTAATGCACAATGGTTGTTCTCCGTCCATAAAAACAACGGCCATGACTCTATGCTCGTGACCTTTGAACGAGTGTACGTGTGTGAAATCCTGAGATTTGGCCGGACAAAGTAAATATGTGTTAAATAGCAAAAAGAGTCAAAAGAATAAACCACCAACCAACCATATCGCAAAAAAGCACACTGAATAAAAAAAAGCATGTTATGTTGCTTTAACAACTAATTGTAAGAACATATGTTCACTAACTTGCAGAGACCACACATGGACGATCTTATCATAGGAGGAGCTGAACAAGAAGTCCCCTAAACAAAAGAACGAATGGACATCAAAATCAATCTTGCAAACAAGCAAACAAAAAACTTTAATCTAGTCACATACTCACACAAACCATACAAAAAAGAGTAAGTGTTGTGGTTAGATCTTGAAAGATAAACGCATGGAGACCAATAACATCGAAACCAAGGCCATTTTAATGATAAGTGAAATCCAAAGAGAAAAAGAAAGAAGAAAAAACTAGGCTCATAACTTCCTGGTTGAGTGGCCTTGTTTGCAAATTTAACTCGTCATGAATGTAAGACTCAAGAAGCTAGCACAAATGTAAAGTACTGTACAAACAATGACCCAAAAAAGATAATAATAATAAAATAATGAAAAAAATAACGCGCTCATTTGTGATGGAAAGTGATACCTCCAACAGCTAAACTTGTAACACAATCAAGATGACCTCTCATCTCAATACATTTGAAATGACCACTTGAAAAACCCTCAACAATGTCCCTGTCCACCCTTAATTCTGCATCAGCTTCATCATTCTCATCATTTACCTTCATAAAATGTTTCAACTCTTTGTCAATTTCCTTGACTATGTCACACATCTCTCCCAGTAATATACGATTTATTGGGTTTTCCTTCTTTACGTTCTGTCTTAAGCCAGGGCCAATATCAAATTGTGGTTTAACAATCAACTCTCGAAGGCATTTCCAGAGTTCTGTAACATCCAGGCGATTTTCAGGGTCAAACTCCAGACATTTGCACAACATCTCACATAGGGAATCACAACACGAGCCCAATCGATGTTTTAAAAGTTCTGCAATTTTCTCCATCCAACTAATGTACAAACTAGAATAATCACAGCATTTTTCATCTTTTATAGCATTAACAACATATTGCAAGAAAATTTCCATCTCTTCTACAAAAGAGCTTCCAACAATTAGCCAAGCCAGTAAAGAGGCTACTGACCAAACATCGGAAGCATACCCAACTACATATCGCGAATTTTCCGAGACTAACCCAAATCCTGCCTTGTCAATAAACAGCAGAAGCATCTCAGGACTGATAAACACACCATTTTCATCTAATAAACTACTCTTCAAATTGACTTGCAAATCTTTAGAAGCCCTTTTCAGTGTCGTACGTACTCTAATACTTGAATTTAGAACCTCGCTTAAGTCTATACAAACATGACCAAAATCATCAAAACCAAAAGAACTCACACTCAAGCAGCCAATAACCAATCCCTCAGAATGCACGCGACTAATGATTTCACATATCTCCATACCAAGCATACACAAGCCACTTATTTCGTCCCTACTCAGCCTTTCCTCTTCATCATCCTTTTCTGTCAGAACAAATTTCGTCAAGTTAGATGAAGTAAATTTCTGCCAAACCATATAAACACTGTTATCATCCTCGTTCAGCCAAAAACCATATGCTTTCCCTACATGGCTCGTGTTATATGCAGCATTTAACATAATACTCAAATCGTGTCTGTCATCTTCCTCCATTCCATACATAACAGTCATAATTACTGACTCGTAGCTAGGTCTGAAAAGCTTTGAATCTTCTTCGTCATTCACAAAAATCCCAACTTTAACAAGACCCACATTTTCTTTCTCCCTCAAAACAAAACCCATCACGCGATCACTCTCAAAAGACTTCAATACTTCTCTTTTCTCAATCGAGATACACTCTTTAGGTACAACCCACCTTTTCCATTTACAGAAGAACTCGTACGGCCACGATTTCGCATTCGACGGAAACAGAACCGACCGGATTTTCCCATTTCCGAGCGGTGACGATGGTGAATTGGTTTTTTCGTCCTTGGCCGGGCCGCGGAGCTGGAAGGTTGAGGAGAAATGGAGGAGGTCTAGGTTTTTGGGTAGGGCGGAAAGGGAATTAGGGATTTTCACAAGGATAGTGCAGACTGTGCAGCGGAGAGTGTTGGGGAATGGACGGAGAAGCTGCTTGAGGCAGGCCTCGCAGGTGGTGTGGCCGCAGGTGAGGACGCGGGGGATGGATGCTACGGCGTCGTAAGGCTGCAGACATACCGGGCACTCCGGTGGCTCAACCTCTTCCATGGCGGGGACTGAATTTTCGGGGCGGCTCTGTTTGTTTGACTTCTAATTGGCAATTTGGATTTTTTTCCTTTTTAAGCCTAAACTTGAACCTTGTTATCAAACTACAGAGGTTCATGCACATTATTATAACACTCCCCCTTGAATGACAATTTTCTAAATATCATTATTCAAACATAATCTGAACATCTTGAAGTTTATCTTGTGTCCATCAAGTACCGAAGCTTCAACATGTCAGAAAAACCAGCTGGGACAAAACCTGATCATTTTATAATCAATCCATTACTCCCTCAGGAAAACCCGGTGGGACAAAACCTGAGCATTGTGGAAGCATAACATTGCTCCCCCTCAAATAGATTATCTTTAGTGGAGTATTCACATGCTGCCTCATTAAAACCTTGTCAAGAAAACCCAATGAAAAAAAAACTTGATCGAAGGAAAAAGAGTACAACTACTCCAATATCTTCTTATCATCATGAGGAATCATATCATTTATTTAGTAGACCTCATCATACCATGAATATGCCTCGTTAAAACCTTATTAGGAAAAACCCAGTGGGACAAAATCCTAATGAAGGAAAAAGAGTACATTATTCATATAAATACGCCATCCTTGTTGCCTCATTAAAAACCTTGTTGGGGAAACCCAATGAGACAAAACCTCAGTCAAGGGAAAAAGAGTACAACGCGTATTCCATATATTCATCATACTACTATTTCCATGAGTATCACAATATCAACGCTTCCAGCGTATTATTCCACCATCATAATATTTCACATATTTCACCTCCATCAGTATCATTCAGTTTATTTGCACACTTCCAGTGTGATAAATTTCAATCATTGATTCTCTCCCTCGTCTTAACAAACATCTAATATATATTTTCAATATTGAATTTCTTGAGAGAAGTTCATATAGTTTCCGTTTCGTTCTCGATTTCAATATATATATATAATAGTAGGACTTTGAAATCATATCACTTGCAATATGCCCAATTTTCTTTCAAGAATTCATCATATCAATTGGGTATATTACTAGCTTTTACACTCATTTTCATAATCATCTCGTAACTTCAGGTTACATTTTATATATACATTCATTGCTCAAAACATCTTGTAACTTCAAGTTACGAGTCATATAATCATGTGGCTATCTACTGGATCCATAATATCTAGTAGCACATATGGAGAGGTATTAGGCCCATATATCGTATCCCTTTTCATATTGATTCACAAATATTTAGCTAGTAATAATTTTTATCAATCGAGAGCAAAACATCACATATCACAAATCATGCAAACCATTATCATTTATATCGGTAAACATCACAATAATTCATATTTATCACAAACATATCACATCATCTTTCGGCGGCAATAAATGCACTTCTAGTGCATTAAATATTTAAATTCAGAATCGTATCACATGCGTATCATGCCTAAACACTTTTAAGCTTTGTTTATAGAGTCGTATCGCATACGCATCATTTCTATAAATTATCAGGTAAATCATTCAATCTTCCTTAATAAAGGTCCGATTTCAAATGGACTTAGCACTCTCAAATATCCGTAATATTATTCATTTCTCCCAATAAATATCATATAAAGAATTTATCGATCTTGATTAGAAAGATTGAGGGTGCTAATGATTAATAATATTTCCAAGTGATATTCGATGGTTGATTGAAGCAAAAGTTCGATTGTCTGGAGAGTTTCCAAATTCATATAAATATATGCCAGGTATGGGTAAAAGTACTTTCGCAAAGAAACGAAGAGCAAAAAGATTAGGTGGATGCTTCAAATGCGCTCGATGGACTTGTGACACACGATGTACATCTGTGGGGTTCGTGTCTAAAAATCGAGAAGATAAAATATCATTTATAAAGGATGGATTGAGTAAAGAATCTATGGATCAAACGATTCAACAGATTCTTGAGACACATCCGAGTGGTTATGTGCATCGAGAGCTTATGTCTCTATGGATTCGTTTCAAAAATGAAGAAGAACGTTATAGTCTCGAAAATATTGTTTCAAAAGATCAAGTTTGTAAAAATTGTTTTTGCTAGTATGAAAAATACATTTCTGTATTTTGTTCTGTAATTTTCAGAAAATCTTATAGCTGCCGACAGATAAGATTCTTTGAAGACTTAACGCCTTATCTGTCGGTTATCGTTTTGTGAAACATCCCTTTTAAATAGAGAGTCATCCATCATAATCATATAACTCACAAAATTTAGTTTATCAATAAATAGATGGATGTTTCAGAGTCTTCTCAAGGTAATAAATTTCTTCATCCGATCAAAACCATGTGTGTTCTTGGTGGTTCTAAACTGGTAAGTTTTTCTCAAAATATTGATATTGTAAGTCAACTAGTAAGGGAGATGGGGAATCGAAAAATCAATTTACTGCATGGAGGGACTAGCATCACTTTCTTTGATAACCTTTTAATGGCTAGAAAATGTTTTGATACAGAAGTGAAAAGTATCATACCTTTTCATAGAGCTTCAACAAGGGTCATCAAAGATTCCACAAGTTTGATGCTAACTCATTCTATTTATGATTGTATTATGGATATGGTGAATAATAGCGATGCTTTTTTCATTATTCCAGGTGGTTATGGAACTTTAATGACAATGTTTACCATTGCTTCTTGGGCAGAATTGAAACTTCATAATAAGCCCATAGGTCTATTGAATTTTAATAACTATTTTCATGGTTTTCTTGGATTTTTAGACGAAGGAGTATATCAAACCTTTATATCTCATTTAATGAGAGAAGTATTCAAATCTGCAGACACGCCTTCTGAGCTTATCAAAAAGCTTCAAGAATGCATCACATTTCAAGATTCTGTGGAAACACAAGGGGTCAAGCGAAAAAGAGTTTTTGATCCTTTAGATCTTTCATTATGAACCCAAATAATAATCATGGGTGGCAGAGTTACGGAGCTTATACTCTCGAGACGCACCCTTCTTTAATGGGTTCTATTATGTAATATTTTTTGCATATTATTGAGGATTCACAACCTCTTATCTGTATTTCCATCATATGATCCTTATGTATTTGTTCTTCAGTAATAATAATATTTTTAGTTTCTTTGGGATCTTTACAAATACTCCTTCTAGGAGATGCTCGATCATCAAGTCGAGATTATACTCTTTCATATTTAACCAAGTTTTTTATTATAACTCCGTCTATAAGCATGAGCTAACTTATTTAATCTTTTTACATAGTGTTCATAGTCTATTTAACCGAGATGATCATTTTGTATATTATCAATATACACAAGGTTCTACCTTGAATTTCATACTTTACTTCTTCAGGAATAATTTTGTTGGTTGTACCACATCTTACCAACAACTTTATAATTAAATGATTTAATTATCTTTCATCTCGAGTACTCGAGTCAATCCAGGACTTTCACATATGACTCAATAGTCATTGTAATATTGCTGCCATAAATATTAACTTGCGGAATCATTGATAATGAGAGAAATTTTATAAAATTTTAGGTCTCCGCGTAAACCTATAGTCTCGCTATATTTACATCACACCACCATATAAGTAATCATTATCCTTCTAGGATATACTATCCTACTGGGATACATCTTGTAGCGAGTGAAAACTTTGCCTTTATTTTTCTTTCTATCTCAATCAATTTAAGCGCTTCTAGAACTTTCATTATTTTGATCCGGATCATTATTTGAGATAGTAAAGAAATCATATAGGCAATTATGTTGTCGACAACTATGATATTCAATTTACATTCTCTCAACAATATGTGCAACTTCATATTTAGTAGCCATATTTATAATCATTTCCCGTAACATTTAATTTTGGCTATTCCGCATTTCCAGTACTATAATGGTTTGATGCACGTGCAATATGTACTGGATCAACTCTCCAGGAGTTTCTTTATAAAGGAGTGTTAAATCTTAATTATATATTTTCCGCGGACTTTCACACATAATATATTAATTATATCACCTTTCTAGCATTAAGAGTCAATCATTCCCTAGGGATTTTGCTTACTTTGTGGTACATTTAGATATATACAAATTTCTCACTCCATTATTATTATAAATTTCGTTTGGCAGAAATATAATATGAACTTCAAGTTCAATTTTTATTGCGTGGTTTCAAATAATTAAAATTTCAAATATTTTACGGCATTAATAAATTTATGCTCATATCTCCCCCTAATGCCGTTAAATAATCTTCGCACAATACGTACCAAATAATTAATTGACCCCCTATAATGGCCTCTAGGTATTAAAAATCAGACGGAGTATAAAAATTATAGTATACCTAGTTTGTAATATTGGCCTATAAAGGTACGAATTGGTGGTGATATAAGATTGTGCATAATAATAAATCGCAGATGGGAAATGTTCAATTTTCCACGCATCATTTTGGGGAAATTATGATAAATAATTGCTCAATATGATCCAACTGCTCATGCTAATTATCCAATATATAAGTTGAGCATCAAAATATAATAAATCAATTTTATGTGAACACTATATGCTTCAGGCACTATATATGTTATAACTCTTCAGAAGTATAACAATTTAATTATGAGATATTTCATACATTTCATAATACCAATATATATAATTTAATAAATTATATCAATATTGGTCTTAAAATAAACCTCTTGTTCACTTGAGCATTATTATATTATTAAAAATTAATTTCAATAATATATGTTTTTGGTGTATAAAGAAATCATGATATTTGATTTAAATAAATCAAGCATTATACAATCTTTGCTATATTTAAAAGAATTTAACAAATTGTAGTTGAGTGCGATCATACAAAATTTGAGAAAATAAATGGCCCACTATCAATAAAATAATTTGAATTTATGAGATGCACATCAATGGATTAAATAAGAATTTATTTGTAGAAATAATTTCCACCATAAGACACCAATCCCAGCAACATTATATATTCTTTATTCGTATGATTGTGATAAAATATTATCATGTGTCAAGTTGCCATTGAATAATTCAGTAGCCTTATCATGTTTTGTATTATCATTGGAGACAAGAAATAGTAATTTTCTCACCTCAATTTGGCGAAAGATCCACCGAGCCTGGAGACGCTTGCTCTGCTATTTTACTCTCTCCATATATCTTTTGAAGCAGTGGCAGTGGCTGAAAGAATACCCACTACACTTGCCAGAGGAGCCATACACTCTCGGAACCGCACTTCCTCTTAAAATACGACGAGGAAAACAACGGTGGCTTCCCGGAGGCATCGCCTCCAAAGTTAGCGACGAGACGAACAAGTTGGTACGCGAGATCGGCGGTTGGGTAGAGAATAGGCGTAGGAGCTCCTGGATTTTTAGAGGCCGGAGGCGGCTTTCTCCTCCCGCAGCGGGGAATGGATGTTGAAGCTGCTGGTGTTTCGACACTTCATCATGAGGTCAATGTCCATGATGATTAATTGTGTGTCCATGGAGGAGAATTTTTTATTTTTGTTTATTTATTTTATCATAAGAGAATAGCGAATTATAATAATTCGATTTCTGATACAGAAGATCGTCTATAAGACGCAACTATAGAGCATACTCTCGTACTATTACAAATCGAGTTCTAGAGGGTAGAGACTCGTGCTGATAACGTGTTATAAAACTAGAGAGAAAATAGAGAATATAGAGAATGCTTTCTCTTGGTTGTATTTTCATTATAACTGAAGCTCCTATTTTTAGGAAAACTTCTGATGGCACAATCGTAATAATACAATTACATCAGGGACAAAATAGTCATTTACATAAATATTATATATATTTATGCACGTCATGAGGTGCATGCACCATTATTATAACAAACCTTTAATTCATCTTATTTGATAAATGTAGCTCTAGCTCATCACGAATCAATCTCGTTAAGGCTTTTGATAAATATAATTTTTACGTAATTTTTTAAACTTTTGGCATAATCTAATTTGTTAAAGCGCTCGATTTCTTAACAAGTTGAACTTCAAACTCGGTTATGGTTATGGACTCCTAAGCTTAAGAAGTTGAGTCGATAAGGACTAGAGTCCATAGGAGCTCTTAACAACTATATAATATGGACTAAACAACTCGATCATGTGCAATACTAGGTTAAACTGTTTTAGAACCTAATTGTTCGCTGGCATAATTATTGACCATTGGATTTCATCAATCGATGATACTGGATTCGTATTACTAAGAGGATGTATTTGTTTTAATTCGGAGTAATATGTGAAAAATGTGGAAAATATAGATAAAATACGAGGTTGGATTATGTGGTAGTGTGTTCGGATGCTCTTATCAATTATTGTACTAAATGAGAGGATTTATGTCCTTTGAGTTGAGAGGTTTTTCAAAATCAACTATTTACAAATGATTCTTATGACTATTTATAATAAGAAGAACCCAGTTACTGCTCATCGGGTTGTACATCAAACATTATATAGAAAAGACATACATTTAATATTTATTTCTTGTCGACTTAGTGCGGCTAGCTCGAGTCTTCAAAGTAGGTTCTCGGCTTTTCTTGTCTTAGCGCTCTCGAATTGGGTCTTAAATTCAAACAACATGTTTGTTTATAGAAATTTTTGGTTTTGTTTGGATTTTTTGGTTTGGTTTGGTTAATTTTGAAAAATGTGGTATGATTAGTTGTTAGTGGGTATATTAAAATAATATTTAAAATAAAATAATTAAAATTGATTTGATGTAAAAGTAGGAGAGAGATGATTTGAAGTGATGATTAGTTAAAATAATGTGAGTAGATGAATAGTGAATTAAAGTTGATGTGGTGTGTATGGATGATTGATTGATATTATTTAATTATATTTATAATATTGATGATAGTGAGGTTGAGTTAAAAAAAAAGTGGTTGAGTTAAAATGTTAGAATTTTTTTAAAATTTCTTATAAACAAACATGTTAAAAGTTGCACGACCTGGGCGTCCTGCTCGGTTCTCTCTTTAGTAACTGGTTATATTTATTTTTGAGCTTACATTTCTTAGCTCAGATGTCAACAACAATCACCAATAACTCGGTTAGAAAACACTAAGGGGGTGATTGGATATGAATTCAACTAGTAAAAATTTAGTTTTTTTTAACTATAGTTAAGTTTGAAAAAAAAAAAGTGGTATGGTTAGTTGTTAGTGGATATATTAAAATAGTATTTAAAATAAAATAATTAAAGTTGATTTGACGTAAAAGTAAGAGAAAATGATTGGAAGTGATAGTTAGTTAAAATTATGTTAGTAGATGAATAGTGAATTAAAGTTGATGTGATGTGTAAAAATAATTGGTGGATATTATTTTATTATATTAATAATATTGAAAATAATAGAATTGAGTTAAAGTTATGTTAAATTTAAGTTTGAATTAGTTTTTTTACTGTACAATGCATAAACAATCACCCCTAAGTTCGCTTCATTTCCTTAAACGAGTCTGAGTTCGGGTAATTAATTGAATGTGTTTATTTAGTGAGTCTTGTCGTGCTCTATCATGAACAATTCGTTTATTTTTTCTAAGTTTGAACAAAACAATCGAGTAGAGCATATTGGCGAATTCATAAATTGTTCTGGCTAACAACTAATTACAATTTTTGATCTGTTAAACGAGCTAAACCAAAGTTGAGTCGATGTTAATTTATTTATCCATATATAATGTAGTTTTATTTTCCTTGCCATAATTATCTATATTCTTTACTTCGCCGCTAATTTTTGCCGCTCGTTTCTCTTCGTCATCCCCACCAACCCACGCGCCTACACACTGGTATACATCCATCAAGTAACGTTTCCAGCTGAATCTCGATATTGGCTCCGACCGCCATGGATGAATTTGGAGTTTTGGTGGAGAGTATTGGGTTCAAAGCCCATGGAAAATCCGCCCCCATGGCCAAATCGAAACCCAAACCCGAATCACATTTCGCTGCCTATAGCTCTGCCAATACGCCACCGTTCAGCGACCACTCTGCGTTTCCCGTCGATGAGCTAGACGTGATTTTCAGATCCAATTTAAACATCGACAAAAATCGGCAATCGCAGGATTTGTTAGGCGATGGTGATGTTTTTGGTGCGAACGTCTCCAGTTCCAATCAATTCGGAGAAATTGATTTGGAATCCGTGCTTAGTATCTCCAATAATGGGGCTAATGATGGTAATTCGAATTTGAGGAATTCTGCTGGTGTTGATGATCATGATGATTTGTTTGGGTCACGGCCGAGGCAAGGGGGTACTGTAGGTGATTTGCTGGGCGATTTGGGAATGAATTCTAGTGGAAAGGAGGAGAGGAAAGGATCTGAACTCGACGAGTTGATACCGGGATATGGAGGAGCCAGCCATACGAATAAAAGGTGTGTTGATATTTGGATGTTTCTTTTCTGATTTATTCATATATTTATGTTCTATTGAAATTGGTGCCGGGGCTAGTTGGTTGTTATTATGTGTAGCTGAGACTTGTAAGTAGCTTGTGAATTTTGGAGTCTCGTGGATGATAAGAGACTATGTTGTGTCTATTTCCATGTTGATAGTTCATGGTGATAAGAGATTTTCTGCGGCCTTTACTTGATTTCAGTTACTACATTTCAATACTATGTTGTGTCTATTTCCATGTTGATGGTCGTATTGATGTGTGTCGTAAAGTAAGGACATCTTTTACCAAGTTGGTATGAATTGAAAGTAGAAGGAAAGGCTTGCCTTTCTTATATCTTTTTCTCCTGTTTTTGTTTTCTTGATACGGTAATTTTTGGAAATTATAGGGCTCATTTTAAATTACACCAACCACACCTGATGCTAAATAACATTTTTTGATCAAGAATCACCTGAACTTCGCTTGTAATCATCGTGCCTGCAGAAATTGTTATCATAACTGTTAATTGCTTTCTTGGCACAAATCATCGTGCTAGCTGTGACAAGTGTGATATTCTTTGCTTATATTTGTTTTTCTTTTAGTTTGTGTGTCTGTGTGTTGTCTTCTGTTAAAAACTGTTTTATTTTTGCATGTCTAACAGAGTACAACCAAAGACTGCCCCTTCAGGATCCAATGACCATTCATCTAACATTAGCTCAACCCTTGGAGATGATCCTTTTTTGGTTTTTGAATCATCTGTTACTAAATCAGATGCCTCTGCTGGAACCTCTGAGCAAGATACAGCAAAAGATCCCATTCAGAGTTCACTTGAAGAACTCGATGATTTCGCCATGGATAGAGGCCAGATTAATTCAAATTCTGATGAAAAAATGACCACAGCTAGCCAGCCAAGTGCAGGCAAAGCTTCAAGCGGGTTTCAGAATGTCGATGATCTGGACGCATTTTTCGGTCGGGCCGTGCAGCAACATGCTGCACAAACTTCGACTAATCAGGTGGACAAATAAGTCTGGGACTGAGTTTCTATTTCGTGATGCTCTTTTCAAAAATTGATTGATTCTTTTTTTTTTTTTAATTATTTTGTGGTCCGATGTCTAGGAATCACATTTTGACATTTTTGGTGGGGAAAAGAGGCCTGAAGGGAAGCAAACTTCTGCTGGAACAAATATTGAGGATAACTTCACTGCATTATTTGGGGGTACTTTAAATTGATATAAACAAGAGAATCAAATCAATCCAGTTGCAGTGCACACTCATAGTTGTTTGGAGAAATAGGCTTTTTTCTTTTTCTTTTTCTTTTTTTTTTCATTTTTTGATTTTTGAATAATGCTGATAATCAAACTGACATGTAGATATTCATCTTCTTTCATTTGAAATCAGAAAAGGCTGCTGTTATGTTACATCTAATTGAGCTTCTTCATGTTCTCAATTGAAACTGTTACCATAGTGAGAAATAGAACTGAGTTCCACTTGAATATATTTGGATGCTTCATTATATATACTTGTTAGTTAGCATTTTACTGCCTGCCATAATCAATTAATCAGGATCCTCGTGAATTCCTTATATATTTCATTATATATCCTTGTTTTGCATTTTACTTCATGTTGGTATCTTCTGCACTATGTTATATTGTGTTGTTCCTCCCCTCTGTGCAGATATGACCACTTCATCTGAAGAGTTTCAGGAAATTGAAGGGGAACCTGAAGAAAGACGAAGAGCGAGGCTTAATCGTCATATGAGAATGAATGAGCGTATGGTAAGTTTAAGTTTTGCAAACTATTTATTCTCCATGCATTTCCTCAGGCAATCGTGTTAATCCAGCTCTGTCCTTAAGCAACAGTGTGTCTGCTGAAATTTGTACTTCTGGAATGCCAGAGTCGTAAAAATAGCTTGCATGCAAAAACTATTGATGCTTCAGCATTGATTGAGCTGATTTTTTTTTTTTTGTGATAAACGAAATCTTGGTGCCTCTTCTTATTAGAGGCGAATTCCATAGCATGATAATACCCAAATATTCTATCTTGATTTTTGGACCAAAACGAATGCTTCTTTCAGTCTTCATCTCTTCATTTACGGTCCTATGGTCCCAGATCAATTAGTTTGTCATGACTTGTTTAGCATTATAAGCTGTATTGCTTGAAAAACTTTTCGCTACTGTAATGAACTACCCATGACATACAAAATGGGTGCTACATCTACTTTACTGCCTTTTAGGATTGATACTTATCCTGTTCTCTGCTTTGGATTTGATGATTTTATGGTTATTATTTTCACTTATCAGGCAGAAGCACTTGCTGAAAAGAATAAGCGGGATCTTCAGAACCAGAATGAGCAGGAAGAGAAACGAGTAAATCTCTTCCCCTCCCCCCTAACTCTCTCGCACACAAAAAAATCATAAGCACATATATTTTCCACACCTTGTTAATAGGATTCTTTCTGTTGATGTTGCTTATTTTTTTCTTGTAATCCTATACCTTTCAGAGGCTTGCAGAAACTTTGGACAATGATATAAGGTGTTGGGCTGCAGGAAAAGAAGGCAACTTAAGAGCCTTATTGTCCTCATTGCAACAGGTGTGTTTCTGTTCACTGCTGGATCTTCCATTTGCTATATTATTCAGAGCCTTCAGGCTGAGTGTTATCTGGTTTTACAGTTAGACCAATTTCTAATTTATGCGAATAAGAATATGAAAATGTGAACAGTAAGTTTGTGGATTGAAGAATTCTGACTTGCTAAAGCATTATAAATTTAGAAACAGCCCATAGCAATAAAAAATGAGATCATCTTTGGGTTCATCACGAACTGTGCAATATGATATGCGAAGCACAAAATTCCTAACAGGTTTGTCAGATTTTTTTGCCCCATCTGTTGTGGTTGTTCATTGTTGTAGCTATTTTTGTTGGCATTTCGTTTTTTGCATAAAAACTCATTATCTCGAACCTTACGCAGGTACTATGGCCTGAATGTGGCTGGCGCCCGGTTTCACTGACAGATATGATTACTTCTGATTCAGTGAAAAAGGTTTACAAGAAGGCGACCTTATATGTCCACCCGGATAAAGTGCAACAAAAGGGAGCTACACTCCTACAAAAGTATATTGCCGAAAAGGTTTTTGATCTTCTTAAGGTACTCCTAGAAACGGTTCTTCTAATGCAAAGCATCTTCAACCAAGTGAAACTTAAATTGTTAGAGATGCAAATCCTGAAGTTCAAATTAAATTGCAGATGAATGGTTTTCTATGCTAACTTTATATTTTCACATGTTCTGAAGCTTAAATTAAGCTGCAGGATTCTTTGCAAGTTTAAATACAAAACTACATGTGTGGTTTATCCTAATTNATTTTTTTTTTAGAAATTCTTGAACACCCGTAGATGTTGCTATTCACTTATGTTTTTTTTTAATGCTAATTTTGCACATTCCTGTTTCTACCTCCATAATACAATGCTTGTGTTACTACAGGAGGCCTGGAACAAATTTAGTGCAGAGGAACTTCGATAACTCTGGAATCTGGATAGCAAAATCTCGGGAGCCTTTGTTGATTTTAAGCAAACTAGTATGAAGTCCTTGTGCTATATATATAAGAAGCAGCAATTAATGATCTTTGCGGCTGATCCTATCTGGAACTTGAGAAGTTTTCATGTTTGTTTTTGTGTATATGTGAATGTCACTAATCTGTGAGTATATGTTAACTACTAGGAGTTCTCTTTTTACATTTTTTTTTTCTTTTTCCTTTTAACTTTTTTATGGAACTGCATATTGTTGAATAATGAATCGATTATGAAAAATTATTTGAAAGTCGATGTCCATTTCCCTGTGTAGTTGGAAAATTATTCGACGTATTGCAGAATATTGCAGTGGACCAAGAAAAGGTCCTCTGAACGTAAACTATTCTCATTTGCCTAATAATAACAGAATTCATGAATGGTGCAAAAAGCACAATCTTTCTTTTTGGGGTCTGTTTTTTTTNTATCTTTATAAGGTTATCACTTAGTGGTGTGGGATCATGAGCATACTATTCACACCATTTGCAATTTGATGGTGGCTCTTTTTGTCTTTTGGTTCAAAAGGGATGGTTTTCTTTCCCTTGAGCACTTTATTTGCAGTGTAGGCCCCCATCACTTGCATATTTATTATCACATCCTACCATTATTTAAGAATGCTATTGCACATTACAGTTTACCAATGTATATCCACAATCCAAATCAAAATCCATTTATCTTAGAAGATGGATCCATCATCCATCAGATTAATTTCAATATTTTTTCACAACTTGCCTTTCATGAGTGTTTGGCCATGTTGAAGGGTAATTAGATGACTATTGTAATTTGTTGTCTTCATCTAATCAATAAATTATTGATTTGATTGTCTAGGACACTAGAAATAACAAGGATCAATAGGTTTTTGAACTATTTCAATTTTCACCCGAGAAATAGAATGGAAGTTAACATATGGAAAAATATGGGGCATTCTTGAATTCCACCTAATACATATACTTCCCACCCCTTTTATCACTTTAACTTGAAGTCCAAGACACTTTTTAGGCTTGTTATCAACAATTAAAAATAAACCCTCTTCACCTCTTTTTTTCTCCATTTTTCCTCTCATTCTTGAAAAAGATCCCTTAATTCTTGAAAAACATAGACCAAATGATCATCTTATCATCAATTCATCATCATGTAATAATCAATAGCTAGTCTTGAAAGGCTTGTAGGTCTTGAGATCCCCCAAAACCCCGGCAACCGACCCGACTCCAGCCGTGATCGATATAATCAAACAAGCCATACTCAAAATCTCGAGACACACCCATCTCGAACTCCACTTGGGAATCCTCGCTTGAACGATGTACATCTCGACAGGGAAATAAACGGTCAACGGCCAAAACCCTAACGCCCCCAAAATCCCCACCACGTCGTTGAAAAATGGCATGAGCATCGAGATTACAGTCGTGATCACCACAAAAATCGACCTCCAAACGAGCCTAAACAAACTGAGCTTGTAGGGTTTGTACCCGGGAATCGGGATCGAAATCTCTCTTGTGATCAATTTACTATTAGGAAAGTAATTGGATGCGGTTTTCTCGACAAAGGCGAATAGGGGTTGGCAAAAGACTTGGTAGGCGCCGATGAGGTGGATCACAATTGCGGCGTTGGCTATGTCGAGAAGCCAATAAGGGTTGTAAAAACCGAAGCCCGTGAGGAGGTTTCCGGGGGATAAGTCCCCAAATGCCGCGTACCCAAAGCAACCGCAAAGCATGTAGAAGATTGTAGTCACGGCCACGCTTATGAAGGTGGCCTTTTTCATCGTCTTGTGCTCGGCCGGTGGGGATTTGATCGTGTCCTGTCGAATTTAAACGAAATATGTATGTAAATCAAAGATGTCGAGTGAAAAATGATTTCTTGCGAAAAACTGAGAATTCAAAAATACGGGACACTTCGAAAAAATTTGAACATCGGATATTGGAGGGAAAAGGGATAAAAACGAGTTTCTGGTTCGGTTAGACTTTTACACACAAACGAAAAACTTTTACAACTTAGTCACCGAACATTCTTTGTCGAAGCTCCCATAATATCTCGTTTACGCTAATGATGAATCGCCTCCGGTTTAAAATTGAAGTTTTTGAAAACACTATACAAGTAAAGAG